GTGTGTGTGCGTGTGTGCGTGAGTGTGTGTGTGTGTGTGTGCGTGTGTGTGTGTGTGTGTGTGTCTGTGTCTATGTCTGTGTCTGTGTGTGTGTGTGTGTCTGTGTCTGTGTTTGTTTGTGTCTGTGTCCTCTGTGGCTGTGTCTGCGCGCTGCGCGCCGCGTGCTGCGTGCGGGTGTCCGCGCGCTCAATGGCGTAGTTCCTCCCTGTTGGCGTGTATCCGTTCGCCCATGCGTGTTTGCACGCCGTGAGAGTGTGTGTTGCGCGCGGGCGCCCGCACGCGCAATTGTGCTTCACTGTCCTGCTGCGCCCCGCTGTGTGCCTAGCCGCCGATGGATAAACAAAGCGCGTGCGCGTGTGTGTGTGTGTGTGTGTGTGCGTGTGTGTGTGTGCGTGCGTGCGTGTGTGTGTGTGTGTTGTGTGTGTGTGTGTGTGCGTGCGTTGTGTGTTGTGTTGTGCTGTGTGGTGTGTTGTGTGCTGTGTGCTGTGTGTTCTTGTGTTTTGTGCGGTGCGTGGTGTGTGGTGTGTGTGTGTGGTGTGTGTGTGTGGTGTGTGTTGTGCGTGTGTGCGATGTGTGTGTGTGTGTGTGTTTTGTGTTTTGTGTTTTGTGTTGTGTTGTGTGGGTGGGCGCGCGTGTGCGCGGGCGTGTAACTATGCGCTTGGGCTACTCAGAGATGGCAAGATTTGCGACCTGCACGCCCCCCAGCTCGCCAGATGCGACCCCAGGACCAGCCGGAGACGACAACGCTCTGCCCACAATCAGATCTACGACACGCTCGGCCCGCGCGACGGCGCCTCCGCTCCAAGCGGAGCTGCGCCGCGAGCCGGCGCATCAGCCACCGCACCAGCGCTGCCCCCTGACCCGCCAGTTCCCCCCCGAACAGCCCTGCCCGAGCTCTCAGCCCCCTGCCGCCTGCCCTGCAAGAGGCAGGCGCGGCCGGAGGTGGAAGCGCCGTGAGCGGAGTAGGCCACCCTCGCGTGGATCCCCCGGATGCGCCAGGGGTTGAGCCCCCCTGGCGAGCCGCAGCGGGCGCGTCTCCCGACGCCCCGCCCCCCCCCGCTCCACCGCGCAGCGAGGCCCCTGGCTGGGGACCACGCCCCGACCCACGCGCGCCTGCAAGCCCAGCCCACCAGGGGGAGGGCCGGCTCCGCCCAGCCCGCGCGGCCTGACACCCCCGTCGACTTGCCTGCCCGCCAGACTCTTCGGACCACTGAACACGCCCCGACCCGACCCAGGAGCAGGCCGAAGAGGATGCAGATGGGCGGGAGGAGGGAGGCGGAGGGGGCGGGGCAGGGAAGAACGAGCAGGGGCAGTGAGAGGAGGGGGAGGAGGATGCATGGGGTAGGATGATCTGGGGGAGGAACAAAGAGCAGGAGCAGGAGGAGCAGGAACATCAGGAGGAGCAGGAACATCAGGAGGAGCAGGAGGAGGAGGAGGAGGAGGAGGCGGGACACGAGGAGGGGGAGGAGCAGCGGCAGCAGCAGCAGCAGCAGCAGCAGCAGCAGCAGCAGGGCGACATGTGCGCAGTTTGGCATTATCCAACTGCTTGCGGTAAACTCCGTCACTGTGGCTGGGTTGTGCGGCAGAATCCGCATGGATGCGGTCAAGTCGAGGTCGAGTCGAGGTGGGCCGTTCCAGAACCTGTCGGGGGCAGCTACGGATTCTCCTGGAGAAAGTGTGACGGTATCTTGGGTCTATCGATGGTGTCGCGGGGCTTCCTGAGGCCCGCCTGTGGGCCCCCTGTTCGGGCGGTTCGGGCAGAATCGTGGAGCCTTCCTTTGGCGTCGCCGGGGCGGAAGATCGACTTTGCGGTCCGTGGGTTCCCTTTGGGGGCCGCTTTGGGGAGCCCTTGAGACGTGCTTGGCCATTCTTGGGCCGTCGTTAGCGCAGGCCGAGGAGGAATTCATGTGGGCTGGCTCCTTGGACCTCTCCTTTGGGGACGCCCTTGGAGGCCTTAGGCGGGGGCCGCTAGGTAGGGCGACGACACGCGTGTGAGGGGGGGAAGGGAAGGAGGAGGAGGAGGAGGAGGAGGAGGAGGAGGAGTAGCAGGAGGAGGAGGAGAAAATGATGAGGAAAACGACGGAGGAATGACTGAAGGCGTAGCAGAGTCTCTTCAAAACGGAGGCCCAACACCACAGGATGATTGAGAACCTTTTTCCTTGAATGACTGGCAGATGGTAGACGTGACCTTTTCAGGCGCCGAGGCGCTCGTTGGTCGTCGCACGCGTCCGCGAAGCAGGAGGACGCGGGCAGTCCACACGGTTCGCCGCCTGCGACTTGCGAGGGCGATTGCCGGTGCTTGGGCTGCCCCGCCGAAGTTACTTCAGCCCTTCCGAGACAGTCGAGTGGTCAAAAGGCTTGCGGTGGAAGGATTGCCACACCACTTGGAGGACAATGTATTCAAAGACGCACGCCCTCCCATTGTTCGGCCCGTGGCTGGCGCACAACACCAATAAGCGAGAGTTCTCGCACTGCCCGTTGGCCTTTTTGTCGTTCGTTGCCCGGGGGGGCGCGCAGAGATTCGAACGACGGACATCGCGACCAGCGCCGACACGATTAAGTTCATGTCCCAGCTGCTCGGCGTGAGCGTGGAGCCAGTTATCCTTGTCTTGTTGGAAGACATGTTGGGCGACGACCACCCGATCCCGATGCCAGGCGAGATCGACCCGAATGTGTTGACGACGATCAAGACGATCTCGGGCGACCGTCTAGCGTTTGCCATCACCGAACCCCCGCAGCACAGCGAGCGCGCATTCTCACGGCCGTCGTCGCCCTTCGGGGCGCTTTTCGGGGAGCGCGGCGCGCTGTCGACGGCGAGCTCCTCCGAGCGGGCCTTCGTGGCGGCCACATTTCAGCGAACCGACAGTTCAGGTCTCGCCAGTCCTGCCGCGGCACTTGCCCCAGTCATGGGGGAGAACCACAGCCCTGCGAAATCCAAGTTGGGCGTGAAGCTTGACGTCGCCAAGATCTCGCGCAAGACAGTGCTGAAGACGTTCGGCGCCCCCCAGTGGGACACCCTGAAGGAGGCGTCGTTCACGAAGAGCGCGACCGCGCTGCTCCTCCTCAGCGGGGGCGCACCCCAAGATGCAGACAGAGACGCCCTGGGGCAATCTCAGACATGGCTCAACGGGAGGCGTGGCCTGAAACACTTCCTCAAATACGGCTGCTTTCGGCGAACTCCGCCACCGTCCCTGGGTTGTGTCTCCTTCGTGGCCTTTTCGGATGCTCTGGGGGGTTCGTTGGCTCCTCCTCCTCCTCGTCCTCCTCCGCCTCCTCCTCCTCCTCTGGCTCGTCATCCTCCCCCTCCTCCTCCTCCCGCGCCTTCCCCCCTCCCCCCCTGACGCGGGGGCGGCAGCCCGGCGGCAGCCGACAGCGGCGGCTGCGAGCGCTCGGCGTGCCTCAAAACGCCGCCCGGCCGCCGCGCCGCCAGCGCGCGGCCCGAGCCGCTGTTTGTCTGACGTTGCTTCCAGCGGCCTGTCTTACGTTGAACCCCATTCGTCTCCTCGAGCGGTCGCGTGGTCCTCGCAGGGCGGGGGGGCACTTTGTTAACAGCAAGCGTTTCACTGCCTCGTTGCCCCGGGTGCTTTCGCAGGAGAAGGGCCACTTTGTTAACGGCGCCTCGCTGTCCGCGGAACGTTTGCCTGCGCCGTTCGCTGCAGAGGGGGGCGCGACCAGTCGTGAATGATTGCGCGCGTTGTGTGCCTGTATCTTTGATGGCATACGCTGTGCGGCGGCATAGTTGCCTTGGCCCGCTGCGCGGCGGCATCTTTGTCTTCGCGGACCGCGCGGCGGCGCAGTTGCCTTGGCGCGCTGCGCGGCGGCGCCCTTGTTTGCGTAGACTGCGCGGCGGCGTAGTTACCTCGGCGCGCTGCGCGGCGGCATCCCTGTTTGCATACACTGTGTTGCGGTATAGTTGCCTGGGCACGCTGCGCGGCGGCATCTCGGATTGCCTTCGCTGCGTGGCGGCGCAGTTGCCTTGGCGCGCTGCGTGGCGGCATCCTTGTTTGCATGGTCTGTGCGGCGGTATACTGGCCTAGGCGCGCTGCGCGGCGGCGTCCTTGTTTGCAGACACTGCGTGGCTGCATAGTTGCCTGGGCGCGCTGTGCCTCGGCATCCTTGTTTGCGTGGACTGCGCGGCGGCGTAGTTGCCTTGGCGCGCTGCGTGGCGGCATCCTCGTTTGCGCGCACTCCGCGGCGGCGCAGTTTTCTCGGCGCGCTGCGCGGCGGCACCCTTGCTTGCACGCGCGGTGTTGCGGCGTAGTTGCCCGGGGGCGCTGCGCGAAGGCGCCCTTCTTAGCGCCCCCTCTCGTTGCGCGCGGGGCCTGGGTGATAGAAGGCGTCGGGGGGGGGGGTAGAGGGGGTGGTCGGGGAGGGCGCAGGACATGGCAGGAGGGAGGAGAGGGGTTCAAGGGGCCAGACAGGAACGCCCGGCATCTTTCGCGCGCCCGGACGCACCGCGGAGCACAGGCGGGTTGCACCGGGATTCCAGGAAGATCAAGAAACATGCCCTGGCCGTGACCAGATTGGCAGAACTCCAGGAATCAGCAGCCGACAGAATTTCATTTCTTCGCCGGCCCGCGGGAGATGAGCCTTTCCCGTCCTTCGAGTTACTCGCACACAGAGCACCGATATGGAACACGTTTCTGCAATACGGGTCAATTGGCAAGGCCTTCGAGGCAGTTGTCTCGGTGAAGATCGCAGACGCGCTTCAGAGGTCCAGCCCAGGCCCGTGGTTCCGCATTCCGTGTTTGCACATGATGGGCGCCCTTGCGAATTCGATCCCGACCGCCAAGGTAGACCCCCAGGCCTTGCTGCAGCGGGTCGACGACTTGGCCAGTGGCATAGAGAGCCTGAGGAGCGACGGCGCTATCATCAGCAAGGTCGCCGAAAACGCTACAGGACCTGAGCGCGTTCACGGTTGTCCTCGCTTGCGCCGCTAGGCAAGAGGTCGCGCAAGGAAGCAAGCTCAGGCTAGCAGGGAAACGCGTAGAGTCGGACAGCCTGTTTGTTTTCAAAGCAGAGGCTGGCAGCAGCGAGATGTGGAGAGCGGCGTTGACCACGGCAGGGGCCTTGCTTCAGGCCACGTCGAACGACGCAGTTGCTGAGGGGAAACTCTCGCGCGGGCTTTCTATATCATGGCCTTCGGCCCATTCCGCCAGCGTTCCCGGAGGGCTGAGATAAAACTGGGGGGGGGCTGAAGTAAATCGCAGGGGGCCAGAGATAAGCCCGCGGGCGTTTCAGACGCACGCGCGGGGGGCTCGAGACAAGCTCGGGGGGGCCTGAGATGAACCCGCGGGCCCTTGAGATAAACCCGCGGGGGGGGCTGACATAAAACCAGCGGGGCCTTGAGATACGCCCGCGGGGGATTTGGATGAAACCGCGAAGGTTTAAGATAAACCTACGGGGTTTCGAGGCGGAAGTGTCAGGAGACGATCTGTCTGGACACTTCCTCGCATGCGCTGTTCTTCCGCGAGACAGGCGACGACGCCGCCATGCGCGACGCCTCGGCCGTCCTGGATAAGACGAACGCGATGAGACGGTGACGATGATGATGATGATGATGATGATGATGATGATGATGAGGGGGATGATGATGATGGGGATGAAGCTGATGCCGGTGCTGATGCTGATGCCGATGCTGATGCTGGTGCTGGTGCTGATGATGATGATAATGACGATGATGAGGATGAGGACGATGAGGAGGAGGAGGAAGAGGAGGGGAGGATGAGGCAGGCGTAGGAAAGGTATTGAAGCACTGGTCGGTGTTGCTGCATTGCCTGGGCGAGCGACTCTGCATGCGTAAACATGGGTCACCGCATGTAAGGCAACCCCACGCCCTGCGAAATAGTCCGCTCAGGCGTTGCCGATTCAGTCTTGGACGTCTTGTGCGGAAGCGCCGTCGAGTAGCTGCTCCGCGTCACGATGCGCAGGGGGGTCCATCTGAATGCGGGAGTGGACGCCCGGGTCCGACTCACTGTCGCTCCAAATATGTTTGGCCACACCCGTGCATGCTTACCCCGTCCCGCGGCAAGGATGGCGTCCCAAGTTGTCCCTTGGCCCACAGGGGATTTCAAACCAGTGACGAACTCAGCATGATCAGGGTGTTCATCAAGTCCCATTGTGATAGCATGCCGTTCGGCACGGCCCACCTTCTGCACGAGGTAGGGTAACGGTCCATAGACCGCCCGAGTGGGCAGCCATGTAAGTGGGTCTAGCTGCACAAGCGCTTGTCCACATCGGCGGACCTCGGGCAAGCTGGGCTCATATCCTGATCCATCAGTGTATGAGGTGGGTCCCCAATTCCCATCGCAGTTGCCCCATCTGTGCACCGTCGTACCGATTGTGCTATGATGTGGTATCCCTGCAGGGGGATGGGGTGCCCCAAAAACCAGATAGGTCTGGTCGTAGTCGGCGCTGCCCCCCAGCCGAAGCACCTCGGCGCAGATGCTCGCGTTCCTCAAGTAGGTGATGAGGTGCGGTGGAGAATATGTCAGCCTCCTTCTCCACAGTAGCGTCAGCAGTCTGGCTGCTGATCGCTCTAAGGCCAACTCTGGGTGCATGTTATGCAGGTTCAAGCTCAGCCTCCTGCTGCAAGCCGGTGGGGGGAGCAGGATTGGATTGGTCGAAGTCGTCAGTCGCATCCATGGCATTGACTGCATCATCGGTTTCCTCCCACACCGCAGGGACGACATGTTCCTCATCTTCGTGTCCAACAGGGAGTGCTGCAGGAGCCTTCAGCATGATGTCCACCGGGTCGCTCAAAGCGCCTTTTGCGCCCTCAACTTGGAATGCAAACCGGCACCCAGGGGCAGCTTGCCGTTCGACTCCACCTGAGGAGTTCTGTGTGAGTGCATCACCTGCGGCCGACTGCTCCCGCTGGGGTAGCCCAATCTGGGAGGGGGCGAAGGGGAGGAGGAAAAGGAGGAGGAAGAAAGGAGGAGGGGGAAGACAAGGAAAGCAGTACATACGATCTTGGGAGAGGGAGGGGGGCGAGGAGGAGGAGGTGGGGGGACAATTCTTCGCCTCCGTTTCCGCCGCGTCCAGAGGGGGGCACGATCGGCGCCCAGTTGGGTTCGCAATGTTGATGGGCACCGCTGTTCTGGGAAGACGAGCGCCCGTGCATCGAGGTGGTCTTGTAGTTTCTGAAGCACAATGGGTGACTCTGGGTGTTACGTGTGTTAGGGAGTTGCTGCAGCCTCGTCCTCCTCCTCTCCTCTCCTCTCCTCTCCCTCCTCGTCCTCCTCCTCCTCCTCCTCCCCTCCCCCTCCCTTCCTCCTCCTCCTCCTCCTCCGCCTCCTCCTCCGCCTCCTCCTCCTCCCCCTCGTCCTCCTCCTCCTCCTCCTCCTCCTCCTCCTCCTCCCTCCTCCTCCTCCTCCTCCTCCTCCTCCTCCTCCTCCTCCTCCTCCTCCTCCTCCTCCTCCTCCTCCTACGTGTGTCACGGACGAGACAGCAGGCCTACCCCATGGACAACGAGCGGAAGGAGGAGGGGGAGGAGGAGGA